GTGCACAGCCCCCCAGCCACAAAGCATCCAGGCCTGTGAGCGGTACCAACAGCCGCAGCAAAGCCTGAGCTTGCCATAGACGCTGGGCCCCCTTGTCCAAAACCTGGGACATACGCAGGCCAGGGTGGGCAGCAGCGCCCTGCACGGTCGTGCACAGCCCCCCAGCCACAAAGCATCCAGGCCTGTGAGCGGTACCAACAGCCGCAGCAAAGCCTGAGCTTGCCATAGACGCTGGGCCCCCTTGTCCAAAACCTGGGACATACGCAGGCCAGGGTGGGCAGCAGCGCCCTGCACGGTCACACGAGGACCCCGCACGGCGCAGCAGCGCGCTAGGCTTGCCGCATGCGATGGCTCCCACGGGAGGGCCGTTTCCAGGGGCCTCTCCTCAGAGGGGACATCTCTGGAAAGACGAAGTCCCTCGAAAGCCGGGGCAGTGCCGGACGGGCAGGCTGTCGCCAGTGCTTTGATGGGGGCGGCCGTCACGAGATTTTCAAGGGACCGGACTCGATAACAGACGACAACAGGGACTCTCCCTTTTTCATTCGCAGACCCCTGAAGCGCCCTGAATGCAGGAGCGGCCCCGTTAGAAATTGTAGACCGTCTGCGAACCCGGCACGTAGTAAGGTGCAACTGTTAACAAGGAAGGCAATCCGCCACTGGCACAACTCACTAGAGAGCTGTGGGCTCTCAGCACGCGACGTCTTTACTTACAGGCCGGCAAGCTTGCTCAAAACGTATGCTCCAGCTCAGCCTGTGGAAGCAGAAATAACTTACATTCCCTGCCCCGTGTTAAACAGAGGTGAGCGTACTCGTCCCGTCTCACCGTAGAAACAAGCTATGAACTAGGGGGTCACCAAATTAAATTAACAGGTAGCAGGTTTCAAACAAACCAAAGGGACCTGTGGAACTCCATGCGGGAGGATAAGAACATAAGAATGGCCGTTCTGGGTCAGGCCAAAGGTCCATCCAGCCCAGTATCCTGTCTGCCGACAGTGGCCAGCGCCAGGTGCCCCGGAGGGGGTGGACCGAAGACAATGATCAAGCGATTTGTCTCCTGCCATCCCTCTCCAGCCTCTGACAAACAGAGGCCAGGGACACCATTTTATCCCCTGGCTAATAGCCTTTTATGGACCTAACCTCCATGAAATTATCTAGCTTCTCTTTCAACTCTGTTCTAGTCCTAGCCTTCACCGCCTCCTCTGGCAAGGAGTTCCACAGGTTGACTACGCGCTGTGTGAAGAACTTTCTTTTATTAGTTTTAAACCTGCTACCCATTCATTTCATTTGGTGTCCTCTAGTTCTTCTATTATGGGAACTAATAATAGACATTTCATTTACAGACAAAAAAGGGAAAAATTTACAGATACATTTTTCTACGGACATAATTTTTATACTATATTAAGATGACATAAGTGGCCAAAAGTGGAAAGTAATTGTTGTCATTCATATACCACAAGAACAATATGCTATTTAACTCACTTTCATTTTGTTAGTCATGGCTCTGGAAGTGTTCCATTTTGTGATTCATATTACGTCACCTCAACCATTGAGCTAAATAAACAACGAAAACGTCCAATTTCTGCTGCTCTGCTGTAAAATGGCTGAAGCAGCACAGAAGAAATGTAATTGCTCTAGAATAATTGCTGTTTTTTGAAATTTTATTGCACTTTTACAAAATTTACGGACACCTACATTTTTTTACGGACTTTACAGACGGGTCCAATTTCGGCTACTTTTTTACAGACTGTCTGTAAATTTACTGACAGTTGGGAACCCTGGTGGGGCGGCTGATGGAGGCACAACCGTCTCCTGTCTTGTCGAGGCACCGGCACTCCATGATGCTGCAGAACGGGAGACAGAAGTCCAGCGCGTGGCTACCTTTCACGATGGAACCATGTGGGTGGGGCGGCTGTTTTGCTGCTAAACAACCGTGTGTGCAGAAAGCAGCCGTGTCTTACCATGGAAGGTGCTTGCCAAAATCTCCTTGTTCCCGTCCGACACAGATTCGGGGGAAACGTTGGTTTATTTTGGCCCTTACAAAAATACTAGATTCTTTTTATTTGAAATGTGTTTTTCCCATAGTTCATCCTCCAGGGCCGTGCCCTGCAGATCCCAGTCCTGTTCTTATCTCACTGATAGGGCGAGGGATGAGCCGCGGGCCACGACTCAGGGGAAGGAGACACATCGAGGTACCTTTCCGCAGGTGAGTAGCTGTTTATACTCTCACCGTTCTTTGCAGCTTTCAAAAGCTCCCTGCTGAAAAACCGGCTCATTCTGGCTCTGACACGGCATTTCCTCAAAAGAGGCGTTCACGGACGAAACGATCTGGCCTCTTCTGGCCAACTGTGCCGAGAAATAGAAATGTGCGCATTCATTTTCACGGTCGGACCATTTGCATCGTGGCTGCCATAGCAATGAAACGTTGCACCGTTCCTTGCATAGTAAGTACATGGTGCATCAGAAGACAACATGCATGCTAATGAACCCACAGACCTGGCTCTGAACCCCGGCGTACCTTAGGGCTGTTTGCACGTGGGCTGGCTGGCACACGTTCTCCATCTTCAAAAAGAGAAAAACCAACCCTCCGGGTCCAAAAAGCCAGTGTTATTTGCATATCAGGCTGCGTCCTCCCTCTTCTCAACTCTCCCAGGCTTTTTTTTCCTAGCTCTTCCCGCTTCCCTTCCTCCTTGCAGTGTGGCTGAGCGACTTGTCTGGCACCTACGGTCAGAGCATCATGGCCAACAGTTTGAAGAACATCCCCGACTCTGGGGGTCTGAGTCTTGGCAGGAGACACCAGATGCCTTATCTCCATGCTCAACATCTGAAAAACCGGGCCGTCCGGGACCCCAGATCTGTGGCCACGTTTGACTAGGAGGCCGTGTGTAACTACCCCTCCTTGCTGGGCAGAGAGCGCAGACGGCCCCGCAGTGAGGTACAGAGCACTAAGAACATGAGAACGGCCGCACTGGCTCAGACCAAAGGTCCATCTAGCCCAGTAGCCTGTCTGCTGACAGTGGCCAGCACCAGAGGGGGGGGACTGAAGACAATGATCAAGCGATTTGTCTCCTGCCATCTGTCTCCAGCCTCTGACCAACAGAGGCCAAGGACACCATTTTATCCCCTGGCTAACAGCCTTATATAGACCTAACCTCCATGAAATTATCTAGCTTCTCTTTAAACTCTGTTCTAGTCCTAGCCTTCACAGCCTCCTCCGGCGAGGAGTTCCACAGGTTGACTACGCGCTGTGTGAAGAAGAACTTGCGCTTATTCGTTTTAAACCTGCTACCCTAGTTCCTTTGTCGTCACGCGTGTGGTTGCTACCGACCGATGGCGTTCAGGAGCGGGAGCCTCACCAGAGCTGAGAGCTGCATGATGGGGTTCGGGGTTGGGAGGGACCCCTAAGCAGTTCTCCAGCGCCTTGGATTGCCTGTCTTTCCCATCACCCATTCTCCTGCCAGCTGGGACTATGAACCCTCTGGGCACATATACATGTGTCTGGTCGGAACCACGGCCTCCAGATGCAGAGCTGGGATTTACCAGCTGAGGAAATACCTTTGAGAGCTCCCGTGGCACAGCTGCCAGCCCAGCGGAGAGCAGGCCAGGGAGATGGTGGGACAACGCTGTGATCAGCCAAATCAGTTAACTGGCTGAGACTCTGACAAGGATTTCAACAGCTCCCCCTCCAGCAGGATTCCAGCTGCAATCAGTCGTCCAGAGGGCCCTAAAGTGGCTTGGCATTAACCCGGTCTCCTTTGACCAACATCTGCTGCTGTCCAGGGCAGCCCAGCGGAGAGCAGGCCAGGGAGATGGTGGGACAACGCTGTGATCAGCCAAATCAGTTAACTGGCTGAGACTCTGACAAGGATTTCAACAGCTCCCCCTCCAGCAGGATTCCAGCTGCAATCAGTCGTCCAGAGGGCCCTAAAGTGGCTTGGCATTAACCCGGTCTCCTTTGACCAACATCTGCTGCTGTCCAGGGCTCCAACCAGCACCGCCCCTGGAGACGTGCTTGCGATGGCAGAGCGAAGTCCGTAGAGGAGTGGAGTCGCTTACGCTGCTAGCCGGCTTCAGACGCTGTAACCGTTCAGCCGGAACCAGCTGGCCCAGTGACACCCGGGCCCGACCAAAGCCGCAGGCCTGGCCAAGCGATTCGAAAACCCGCCCGGGCCACGCTTGCGACTGTTTAACTCCGCTGGGCCAGTGTGGCCATGCTAGGCACAGCGTTGTGGGGGGATCGCACGGTTATTGGGAGGGGGTCGCGGCACGGCTACCCTTCCTGCAGAGAGCAGAATGGAAATCAGAGACTTCTGTCCAAGCAAAAGGGACAGTTTTTATAGGAACAGCTTTTATTGAGAAAGCTTCAGGGCAAAAAAGAAAAGCCAGGAGAGTATAGGGAATCCGCTTTATAGATTATACATAACTGTTCATCCTTTATTTTGTAGAATTTTCTTATACAATTTTTATTGTTCCTCCTTCTCTTATTTGGATGAATCAGGAAACACTAATACACTCTAAAAATCAATTACTACTATTGAGATATTGTAATGATTACATGTAAAACCATTTTAGCGTTGCGCTCACTCGCCCCAGGCAGCCCCGCCTGCTCCATGGTCCTTCCAGGCCCAAGGTGCTTTCTGCTGTCCCCTGGGCCTCAGGAGGCGAGAGGCTGCACGTACTTCCCCAGTGGGGCACACCCGGCCTCCCCCTCCTCATGCTGCTAGTGCTGCAGGGCCTGGGGAAACTGAGGCACGCCCCCACCCCCCCACACACAGTAGCACTTAAGAGCACATAAAAGACAAACGGTGCATTCAACTCCAGTGGGACCACAGGATTACAACAGTAGCCAGCCCCCCCTCCACGTCACCCGCACACGGGCCACAGCCACCCCCCCAACTCC